TTCCCCAGATTAGGGAAGTTTTCAGCTATTATTTCCTCAAATAAATTTTCTGTTGTGTTTTAAAAAGCTTTCTTCTGAGACTCTCCTTGCCTGTGGTGAACATTGTTTGGTCCCTGGCCTGAATGTGGTGAGTTTTAACTAGGTGTGCTCTGGTCAGCTTATGAAATGAGACTTGACACCGCTTCCACCAGAACCAAGGTCCTGCAGAACTCTCTGCTTGGGAGATGTGGTGTGGGCAGGGGTTTGTGCTGGTCTTCTGGGGTAGGGGCCCAGAAGGGACTGGGATTGGCAAGTTTGACTGAGAAGAGCAGTCCTGCCAGAGTGGGGCTTGGTATAAGCAAGTTAGGCAGCCAGCGTCTGCACTGTGCTGCTTCCTGAGGGAGCTCTGTGTTTATGCTAAGGGGTGGTGGGGGTGGGGAATGGCCAGCCAGCTCCTTTGTTTCAGAGAGGTATCTCTGTGAGTTCTGTCTCTCAGGGACATGCTCCAAGAAGAGCAAATAATGTCCCTGTTGTGTGCCCTAGGCGTTCTTCAGATCACTATTTCCATGCTGTATGCCCCTGGATTGTTTGCCTGCCTTCTCTTCAGAAGCAGCACATTACCCTCTGGGTTCTATCCCAGTGAAACTTGCTGACCTTTAAAACTCCAAGCTTTATGCCCCACTGGTTCCAAGAACTCATGAAGTTCAGCCCCTCTCATTTTCAAGGCCAATGGCTATGGGGGAAACGTTCTCCTTGTGTATTCCCCCCTGTGCTTCTCTTTCTCTTGTCCTTCTCTGCGACCACATCTCCCTCCCCTCCTCAGCACCTGCAATCTGATCTGTCTCTTCCCTAAACCAGATCACTACACTTCCTACTTTCTTCAGTGTGACTCTTCTCTCCCTTTAGTTGTGGAGTTTGTTCTGTCAGTCTTCGGGTCAATTTCTGGAGTATTTAGGATGATTTGATAGTTATCTAGCGTTGTTCATGGGATGAGGTAAGCCTAGGGTCTTCCTACTTTGCCTCCATTTTCCTCTCCTTTAATATGTGGGGGTTTTGATCCATTTATCTGGATAGCATTGCTTTCCTCTACAGTTTATTGATCTGGCTCTAAGTTATTTCTAATTCCACTTTCCTCTGAATGTAAGGTTACAGTAACAGCTGGATAGAAGAGTCATGCTGAATGGTAGCACTGTGTTAATTCTGTCTGAGTTCCCCAGCCACACCCCCTCTCAAATTATCCTTCATGAGCCAAATTCTCTGCTCCACTGCATCCTCAGGGAAGCAGTACCTAATAAAAGGACATCACAACCTCATCTTGATTCTCCTTTTGTTCGGGTACCATGTGACTAAAGACTAGTAATCAGAGTAATATTTTTAAATATTAACAACCTACTCAGCCATGTAAAGAAGAGATATATTGAATTATTAAAATATTCAGACTGTTGCATAACCTATACCTCAATGGTTCCATGAACCCCAAAGGAAAAGAACATTTTTGTAGTATGTTAGGATTTAAGGGAAGAATTTTATAGTTTTTGTTACATTTATCAAATAGTTCTCTGACCAAAATAGGTTAAGAGACACTTACTGAGGATAACTGTTTTTTAATTCTTAGCTATACAGGAGAATATTTGGCATTAAAATCATGATAAACATAATACAGACTGTTATAGTGCCTCAAGGCTCTTAAAATGAGTATCAGTAATGATTACGTAGTACTTTGAAATTTTTAAATTATTTGAGCTTTCTCAATTCATTCTATTAAAATGCAACTGTTATGCATAAGCATAACAATTATTTAGATTTTGAATAAGTGGAATTTTATGCAAGTATCTCCATTGTCACTAATTACTATATATGACACTCTAGAAAAATCAACCTCTTCAAATTTCAATCTTCTTACTGGTAAATGGGGGTATCCGTGTAATCTGTGCCTATTTAGGCTCTGTTGGATAAAGAGACAGAAAAGTAATTGAACAGGGGACCAGTGGTTTAAATGCTTTTAAATCAGGGATTTTAGTTCTGACCTGGATTCAAACTCGGACACAGTCTTGACTCTGATACAATAGTCTCCTAAATAGTCTCCCTACTTCCAAGTTTCCTCCACCAGACTTATTTTTTCAAGCAGCAGTCTGCATGACCCTTAAAAAAATGTAAGTGAGGTCATGTCATTCTGCTCAAAGCTCTCCACTGGCTTCCCATCTCATTCCAAAAAGAAGCTGAAGTCATTGCCATTGTTTGCAACCTTAGAGCTCAAGGTGAGGTCTGCAGACCAGCAGCACCAGCTGAAACCAAACTCTATGGGAGAGCTACTAAATCATAATCTACAGTCTACCAAGAGCCTCAGGTGATACAAATGTCCATCAAAGTTTGAGAAACAACCTTGATGGCTTCTCCTTTTCCCCTTCTCATCCCACTTCAGCCACAGAGGCCTGGCCTCCCTGCAGTTCATCCACATGCCAGACTCCCTCTTGCAGCAGGAACTTTACATTCGTCATTCAGTCAGCACAAAAATCTCTCTTCCCCAGTTATCTGCAAGGCTCTCCCCTTCATCTGCTTCAGTCTTTCCCAAGTGTTGTCATCTTGGTGAGCCAACCCCTGCCAACCCTACCTTAAACTGCAATCCTCCCTCCCCACAACATACTCTTCATGTGTCTTCAGAAAGTTATTTTTCTCTATAGCACTTAACATTATCTGGCATATTATATCATTATTTATTTGTTTATTATCTGTCTCCTCCCCATAAGATCCATGAGAGCAGAGATTTTTGTCTCCACTCTATCCCCATTACCTAGAACAATGACTAACTAATATGTATTTGTTAAATTCATGAGTCAGATGAGCTAACACATATAAAGCTAAACAGCTGGGGGTAGGCCTTCAATAATTGATATCCATGATAAATATTATGTTTTGTTGGACAGTAAAGGTATTTCTTCTAGGCAGACAGAGTATAGTAGTCTTTCAGAAATCAAAAAGACATTTTGGACAAGTCCCCAGTTCATGCTATGAAAAGTTGAAAAGAAGTTATTACAGTAATCCTCAGTAGACAGTAAATTTCATAGGTAAAGAACTGTGCATATATATTTTTGTTTATTTCATTTTTTTCCCACAGAAGTAGCCCTATTACATGGCACAGTTCCAGGAAAATGGCAGACACTAAATAATGAATAAACAAATACAATTTAAACATATATAAAGGTAGTATATAAGAATCTGTCTTTGACTCTTTGGCATCCTTTGATAGCCCTAACCTGGCTGCCTGTCTGGTCTTCTGATTTTCTTGTACTAGTATTTTATATTTGTCATTAACTTGAAGTAACAAAATTATTAATCTGAACGCAACACCTTTAAGACAAACCATGGCTGGTCTCTGGTTAAAACCAGGTGGTTTAATTATCTAAGGAGGATTGATAGCAAAACTTAACAATAATGACATAGCTACTAGTTATATCAGGAAACTGTGTAAGCATTTTAGCTGTGTCATTTAATATAGGCAGTGCTATTATAAGCTAGGTATTATTTTTAATATCTATAATACCTATTTTTGGGATGCATCAACTGAGGCCTAGAAAGGTTAAATAACATGCCCAAGGTCATGCAGAAAAGCTATTGATCCACTGCAGAATGAGTTATGTCAAGAGTCAAGGATTTATTTATCCTCGGCAACTACTTTCAGATTCTAATTTTTTTAGTAATGGAATTCTTTTTACCTCACTGAGCAAACTGTTGCATGAGCGCTCAGTGACTAGAACAGATAATAGTGGCACGGCTCTTGATCAAGCAGGGATTAGGCAGAGTGAAGACCCATTTCCTCAGTCCTCAGCCTTCTCCTTTGCCTCCTCCTTATCCATTGGCTCTGTACAGCACCTTTGCAGAACCTCAGTGATCTAAGGAAAACTTTTGCCCTGTGGAAAGGAGGTGGGATAGGCATCCAAAGAGGGATAAGCATCCAAAGAGCAGGCAGAAGGTCTAAAATCTCTCTCCAAGTAAAAATAAAGGCGCCAGGAAAACCATCCAAATAGGTAGAAAAGATCCCACACAGAGGATTCTGTGTACTACCTTTATAGATTGACCACAGAGGTAAAAATCTGTCTATATAAGTAAGTTGGGATTCCAAAAAAAAGTTTGGACTATATCATACTGACGTCTCTCCAGCTCTAAAATGTCACGATGTAATGATCTGGAGTGGGCAATAAGCAAAGTATGATTTGATATATAATTTTTACAATTTTCTTGCTTCAAAACCTCTAGGTAGTCACTTCTCTCAGTTGGCAACAGGTAACCATGGACAAGGAAGGCAACATGAATATGCATGAAGAAGTCAGAATACCTGTTTGAGGATTCCAGTTCTATAATAACCTTGAGAAAGTCACCAGACTCTGAAATAAAAAGATAAACAATGCTCTTCTACCTCACAGGTAAAGGTAAAATGATATAATAATGGTGAAAACCTTCGGAACTACTGAAGTTGTATGCAAATACTAACAAAAGTATTAGCAGAAGTACCAAAAGTAGACTTTAGGATTAAAGAATACACACACCCTACTTCTATTGACAAAAATTCTATGAGATGGTATTTGGACACTGAATATCTATTTAAATTGATAAAATATCCTTAAGTCAATAATCTGCCAGTCAAGTTATCCAGCACATTGTCAGTAGCATTCATTCGTTACCCATTTGACATCCATTTGATATTTACCACAATATGTTAATTTCTTACTTATTTTACCACCACAGATCAATTATTTGAATGAAGACATCTAGTGAAAATTTCCCTTTAATTTTTGCTGACATCGACAGTAGTCTATCAAAACAATTTTTTATAGATTACTGAATTATAAGTAAAAGTGTAAGTATTCTGACATTTCACCCAAAGAAGATATAGCAAAAATGAGATATAATTATTACACTTTAAGCTATGTGTCATTTTCTTAAATTTAAATAATTAATTGCAATTATAAAAAGGGAGGAATACAGTTGGTGAAAGCAAGAAAAGATAATTGCTTTAGACTTACTGCTGCATGAAGAACTGAGGCATTGCAATGAGCAATGTTCCAACTCCCATGATTAGGCACCCTGTTCCAATTATTTTTGGCCTGTGAAGTTTGGCTCCAAAGTAGCTTACAAACGTTATAACTAAGAGATTCCCTTGGGGTGAAGAATAAAATGTTCATCAGTTAGATAACTTAGAAAAAGTCATCAGCATAACTAAATTAACGAATGTCTATAGCAGGTCTGGCAATGTTTTGTTGTAACTACACTGTCTCCCCACCATCTTTCCCATCCTTTGTCTTTCTTTGCTTTAATCTAAGATGACTGTTGAAATTGTCTGCATACTCATTACTTCGATTATCTTATCCATTTATCAAAATACTTTAATTATGAACACTACCACCTCAATTTCATCCACCCTAATCATTTGTCCTTTTAAAGTGTTTTATAAGTAAATCAAATTGTAGAAGCATTCCTTTATTGCTCTCTTAAGTTTTCCTTAGTGATTTTGAAGTGAACTTTATTACTGTTTCTTCATTCATTAATATTTTCTATTAAAGTTTTTATCAGTTTCCCATTTGCTCTTGAAACATACATTACAATATTCTTGTTTTAGCAGATATTCCTCATAGAAAAAGTAAACCAAATACAACTATACCTCACTTTATTAAATCAAATTATGAAATTCATATTAATACTAAAATACTTTACAATTGGTTACATGCTTTTTACAAAAAGACTCAAAACAGAGGTAAAAATTACATCAAATCACTAAGTTGTACACCTGAAACTAATGTAACATTTTGTGTCAACTATACTCAAATTAAAAAAAATTAACATAAATTCAGCAAGGTTGCTGCATACAGATAACATTGGATATTAATACTGTTCCAATATTCCAGGAATTACTAAATAGGAATTGTAACACAAAAAAAAACTATTACCGTAAAAGCAATGATTAGAGGGAAATTCATTGCATTGAATACATATATTAGGAAAGAAGAAAAATCTAAAATCAGTTATCTAAGTTTCTATGCAGGAAACTAGAAAAAGAAGAGCCAATTAATCTAAAGTAGGTAGAAGAAAAGACATAATAAAATTAGAGCAGAAATAAATGAAATTGAAAACAGAAACTCAGAAGAGAAAATCAGCAAAACCAAAGGTGATTCTTTGAAAAGATCCATGAAATCAATAAGCCTCTAGTCATGCTCATCAAGAAAGAAAGAAAAAAAAAGAGAGAGAAGATACTAATTACTAATACCAGAAATGAAAGGGGAGACATCACTATAAATTTTATGGACATTAAGAGGATAATAAAGGAGTACTATGAACATCTCTATGCTTACATATCTGATAACCTAAATAAAATGGACCAACTACTTAAAAGACACAATCTGCCAAATCTCTCTAAGAATTAATAGACAATATGAACAGGCCTATATCTGTTATAGAAGTTGAGCCAATAATCAATAGCCTTCTAAAACAGAAAGCACCAGACCCAGAAACATTCACTGGTGAATTTGACCCAGCAGTTAATGAAGAAATTATACTAATTCTCTATAATCTTTTTTGAAAAATAGAAGCAGAGGGGAAATTTCCTAAATCATTTCTATGAGGGCAGCATTACCATAATACCAAAACCAGACAAAAAAAAAAAATCCCTAATAGTCAATATCTCTCATGAACACAGGTATAAAAATCCTCAACAAAATATTAGCAAGTCATATTCAACAATATATAGAATTAGATACCATGAACAAGTGGGATTTATCCCAGGTATACAAGACCAGTTAAACATTAGAAATTTAGTTAATATAATCCAGCACATCAACAGGCTAAAGAAGAAAAATCACATGCTCATATCAATAGATGTAGAAAAAGCATTTGACCAAAATCCAACAACCATTCATGATAAAAACTCATTAAATGCAGAAAAGAGACAAATTTCCTCAACTTGATAAAGAACTTCTACAAAAACATACAGTTAACATCATACTTAATGATGATAAACTCAAAGCTTCCTACTAAGATCAGGTACAAAGTAAGAATGTCCCCTCTCACCATTACTTTTCATTATTGTACCGGGAGTTCTACTAAATATAATAGGACAAGAAAAACAAGTAAAAGTACACAGGCCGGGAAGGAAAAAATAAAACTGTCTTTGCTCCCAGAAGATATGATCATCTGTATAGAAACTCCAAAAGAACTGACAAAGGAACTCCTGAAACTAATAAATGATTATAGTAAGGTTGCAAGATGCAAGGTTAATATACAAAAGTAAACTGCTTTTCTACATACCAGCAATGAACAAATGGAATTGAAAAAGCATTTACTTTATCACCCCCCAAAATGAAATACTTAGGTATAAATCTAATAAAATATGTACAAGATCTACATGAGAGAAACTACAAAACTCTGATGAAAGAAATCAAAGAAAAACTAGATAAATGGAGATACGTTCATGTTCATGAATAGGAAGACAGTATATGCCAGTTCTATCCAACTTGTTCTATAGATTCAATGCAGTCTCAGCCAAAATCACAGGAAATTATGTTGTGGATATTGACAAAATGATTTCTAAGCTGACAAACTGGAGAGACAAAAGACCCAGAATAACCAACACAATACTGAAGAAAAACAAAGTTAAAGGATCGACATTACCGAACTTCAAGACATACTATAAAGCCACATTAATCAAGACAGTGTAACAGTGGTGAAAGAATAGACAAATAGATCAATGGAATAGAATTTATAGCCCAGAAACAGACCTACGTAAATATAGTTAACTGATCTTCGACAAAGGAGCAAATGTAATAAGAAAGAGCAAACATAATCTTTTCAACATGTGGTGCTGGAACAACTGGACATCGTCATGGAAAAAAAAATGAAGTTAGACACAGACCTTACACTCTTCACAAAAATAAAGGCAAAAGAGATCACAGACCTAAATTTAAAATGCAAAACTATAACATTTCTAGAAGATAACTTAGGAGAAAACCTAGATGACCTTAGGTTTGGTGATGACTTTTTAGATGCAATACCAAAAGCAAAATCTGTGACCAAAAAAAATGGATAAGCTGGACTTCATTAAAATTAAAAATTTCTTTTCTGTGACAGATACTGTCAAAAGAATGAAAAGAAAGCCACAGACTGAGAGAAAATATTTGCAAAAGTCGTATCAGATAAAGGACGGTTATCGGAAATATACAAAGTACACTTAAAACTCAACAATAAGAACACAAACAATGAGATTTAAAAATAGGCCAAATAACTTAACAGGTCACCATAAAAGATATACAGATGGCAGATAAGCATATGAAAAGATGTTCAACATCATATGACATGAGGGAACCACAAATTGAAATGACAATGAGACACCACTACATACTTATTAGAATGGCCAAAATCCAAAATACTAAATGCTGGTGAGGGCATGGAGCAAAAAGAAGCTCATTCATTGCTAGTGGGAATGCAAAATGGTACATACACTTTGGGAAACAATTTGGCAGTTTCTTACAAAACTAAACATATTTTCCCATATGATCCAGCAGTTATGCTCCTTGGTATTTACACAAATGAGCTGAAAATGAAAATATGTCCACACAAAAACCTGAACAGGGATTTTATAGCAGCTTTATTCATAACTGCCAACACTTTGAAACAATCAAGATGTACTTCAGTGGATGAATGGATAAGTAAATGAAGGCCTATCCAGAAAATGGATTATTATCTGGCACTAAAAAGAAATGAGCTATCCAGCTATGAAACAGAGGAACCCCAAATGCATATTACTAAGTGAAAGAAGCCAATCTGAAAAGGTTACATACTGTATGATTCCAACTATACGACATTCTGAAAAAGGCAAAACTATGGAGACATTAAAAACATCAGTGGATGCCAGGGGTAGGGGAAAGGTTGGATGAATAGGTAGAGCAGTGATTTTTAGGGCAGTGAAAGTAGTTTGCATGATACTGTAGTAGTGGATACATACCATTATATATTTGTTCAATCTCATAGAATATACAACACAAAGAGTGAACCTTAGTATTAACTGTGGACTCTAAATGACAATAATGTTATTGTAGGTCCATCAGCTGTAACAAACGTCCCACTCTGGTGGGGGATGTTGATAATGAGAGAGGCTTTGCATTTGTGGGAGTAGAGTGTATATGAAAAATCTCTGTAACTTTCACTCAATTATGCTGTGAACACAAAATTACTCTAAAAAACAAAGGTTTTTTTTGTCATTAATATTTTTATTATTGTTATGTTAATCACCATACATTACATCATTAGTTTTTGATGTAGTGTTCCGTGATTCATTGTTTGCATATAACACCCAGTGCTCCACGCAGAACGTGCCCTCTTTAATACCCATCACCGGGCTAACCCATCCTCCCACCACCCTCCTCTAGAACCCTCAGTTTGTTTCTCAGAGTCCATAGTCTCTCATGGTTTGTCTCTCCCTCCGATTTCCCCCCCTTCATTCTTCCCTTCCTGCTATCTTCTTTTTTTTTAACATATAATGTATTTTTTTAAAAAACAAAGTTTTTATGAAATCTATATGAAGTTGATTAAATACTAAAATGTGAAAAGCAAAACTTTTCAATATTTGTAAGAATATATGGGAAAGTATTTGAAAGAGAATATTTGGAAATATTAGGAGGTCATGATATAGAAAACATTTTTTTTTTAATTTTCTTACAGCTCTGTTGTTGTTGGAGAAAGACTTTGTTATGAAAAATACTTGGGAAAAAATGGAGTGTCCAGTATGTGGACATGAGATAATGATGTCAGAGAATAAATGAAATTGTTCTACAAAAAAGAAGAAATGAGAGCTAGAGACAAAGGTGGGAGTGGGTCCAGAATCCTGGAAGGAAGGAGGCAAAAGGAGTAGTTTAAGATTATGGTCAGGAAACCTACTTTTATTTATTGAATTAGATACATTTTATTGTATCTAATTCAATAAATAACTTCCATCCTTGGAATGGTCTGGAAGAATGAATTTATTCTCAAGGTCCTTTGTCACTTCCTGTGAAATATTAGTACTCTCTATTGAATATAGACTCTCTCAAGTTGCATCAGGATGTGGGGACCCAAGAAAAATTTGGAACATATTGTAAGTCTCTTTGGCTCTAAAATGTTTTTATACCATAATCTAGAGTGAGCCATAATTAAAGTATCACTCGATATATAATTTTCTATCTGCTCATTTCTTCTTCTTTCTGTGTGATTTAATCTTTCAATCTGTAACAGCTGCCTCTCATACTGGTTTCTTCCTGTGAATCAGTGTGTCACTCTTACCTTGATTCAGTTTAGGGCTATAGATAGGACAGGCATCAAGGAATACATCAATTATCAAGGCCTATCTAGGGAATTTACACAAGGGAGTGATATGATCAGATGCTTTAGAAACTTGCTACACAAAATATGGCCCATTTACTTAACAGCATCACATCATAGGAGAGCCTGTAAGAAGGCAGTCTTACTCCCCTTCCTAAAAGAATGAGCACCTGCATTTTTTCAAGATTGCCCAGTTGTTTGTATGCACATTAACATTTGATTAGCACTGAGCTAAGTAATCCCATTTTAGTAGGACGATGATAGATGGATTTGGGAAGAAAACCCTAAATGTAAAAGGATACCTATTCATTCTTTTTGTGATATTCAGGGTAAGAACTGAAATATACAGTATGTATTAAAAAAGTCATTGTTGCAGAGTTGAAAAATATTGCTTCACTTTTCTGAAAGTTTAAGTGAGCTGAACCTGGAGCCATTAGAGATTTTACTATGTATAGTAAAGCATATATTTGAGTCCCAACAGGTAGTAAGGACCCCAGAGGCTACCATTTTGTTTACTTCGGTGAAGAAGTAAAGCCTTGTAGTTTATCAACTCAGGAAGTTGTACCTGGGATTACACTCCTTAAAGTACTTCCAAAACAGTAACTAAAATCACTTGGTCTTTTCAAGTGCCAAGAAGAAGTCTATAGTCAACTGCTACCCAAAGACATGTGAGAGTAGAATTTTTCTTGGCTGCCTTGCTCTACTGTTCTCGTTAATAGGATTTTTCTCTTCTGTGTTGACCTCTGGGCAGAAACCCCTTTTATGGTTTCACTTCTTAAATTATTACAATAAATATTTGCAGAGCCCATCTGAATTCTTCCAAATTTTGAATCACAGGGCTGTCAGGATATAGGACTCTTCTTGTAACAACACTTTCCAAATACTTCTAACTTAAAATCCTAATAGCACCTCACCCTCTCCTGCAAGAAAGTCTCTCACTCTGATTGGAAACTCTAGATTGTGTGAATCATATAGTGCTGAACACCTGGGGTGGGAAATTTATTGTTGGTTGCTTGGGGAGAACAAATTGCCTCTACTGTAACATAAGGTCCCAGCAAATTCTGTCTCAACAAGAATTTACAGATAGAGTCTGATCCTAACAGACAAAAGAATGCAGCAAGGATGTCATTTAGTCGTGTCTAGAAGACATGTAAAAGTAAAACCAGGCATCAGCAATACCTACCAATTTCAAAACTACCATCAATAACTCCCACCAGTGAAGAAGGGATATCAAACCTTCTCTCTATCTGAGTGATGGTGCTCTTCAGATAGCCTTCTGCCAATGCTTTGGCAAAGTAGACGAAAGACAAGGCACCCAAAAATACCTGGAAAATAGGGCAAGTCACACTTAATCTGACTCCATCTTGACACACAAGTGGAAACTTAACTAAATAAATAGACAAAAATGCAAACCAAGAACAAGTAACAAGCTTTCTCTCAAGCATGGGTACAGGCTTACTTCAGCCTCAAGCTCAGGTAGATTGCTAAAAATACAAATTCTGAAACAGATTTCATTCAGAATGTATGTTGACTTCTGTTCTTTCCCTTCTTTTCCCCTCCCCCAAAGGACATTTGAAGGAGTCTTGGCTTTGAAAGGACGATCCACTGTATGGTGAAGCAAAGAGTGGAAGGAGCCATTCACAGGTAAGAAAATAAAACAAGAACCATAATTCAAACACTTAATATATTATCATAAGTCTTGTACTCATGACTGTGGGTTTCACAGTGGTGATGCATGCACCAGCAAGAGACACAATAGACCAAAAAGGTGTAACTACTATCCTCACGTTTAAGTTCATATTCAAGTGAAATTCATACATTTGAGTATGAATGTTTTTTTAATAGTTGGCTTATGTTTTTTGCTAGACCTGAGTCCTTGATGGAGTATCCAAAGAGCAGGTTAGCATTTATACGAAAAAACACATATATTTGCTGAATGAATGTTTGGTACAAAGAAAGAACAGGAACTTGGGAGTCACACTGAGCACCACTTAAAAAGCTCCCCTGTCCCTTGTTGTGTGTCAAGGAAAGTCAAAATTTTCCTTTATAAAATGGGAATGATATGGATGTTTTATAGATTAAATATTATAACTATACTTAGCATAATATCTGGTACATGGTAAAAAATTGAATAAATGTTAGTTTCTTTCCTCTCTTATTTCAGTTTAAGAGGTGCATTCAAATGAGTCCAGAGAGTAATATTTACTAATTTAACCTACCTGGTAGGGAGAGATGGATTTCACTGTCTGGTAAAGTGTAGCTTTAATAAATTGCACCTAAGTTCACTTTTTAAAAAGGGAAAAAAATTCTTGCTTCTAGCTACATATGGGAAATATGTAATTGCACAGAAATATGAATTATGAAATTGTGCAGCACACATCTGGATGGAGAGTCAACAACATAGCCTCCACCTAATTCGGATTTTTTCCCTCCCACCTAATTCTTTGTTACTCTTTCCTTCACTGCTTATGGTTGTTTGTTTACCATTTAATTGTTTGTTACCTTCAGTTTACCACAGCATCGTTGTTTCTCCTTTGAGGAAGAATATTCTGTTTTAAAGGAAGATCGCCCGACAGGTTGCATTGAACTTTTGCAGAATAACTGGATATTTTCTTTGGATGAAGTGTCCATTATGAAAATATTCCTTGACTCTGATCCTGTCGAAGTTGATTTCAGAAGTAAAAAACAAACAAAAAAACACAAAAATTAATTTGAATACACCATTTATTAAATAATGTTTTTATTTCACAGATCACAATGCTGGGGACATGATTTGGTGTGAAGCTACCTTATTTTACCACAGTAAGTTGGCAAAGTTTTTCAATCAAAATTGACCAGTATATGTGATTAACTAATCCAGCTATCGGGACTCTCTAGCCAGCATTCTTTTCCAATCCCTACAGTTTAAGCCTCATTATGTCAAAGAATAAATTTAAATGTTGCGCTTGGAATAAATAATGAGGCAGAATTTTGTTAACTTTGTGGTCTTGCCAGCTTAAACTAGAAGCAAGCAGGAAAGGAAGAGGAATTCAAACATTTGAATATTGATTCATGAAAATTAAGTCATTAAAGCTTTTAAATCTATCCTGACAGAATGGGTAGAAAAGACTGATGCCCATTGTAGATCCCTGTAGCACAATGCAATTCCTATAGGTCTGCAGAATCCAAAGAAAGGTATAAATGATGGCAAAAAAAGAATAGGACCAATTTATGTATCATTTTAGTTTGACAGATAAGGAAGCAGCATGATTTGTGCCACAGACTTACATTTAATTCAGGCAAAAATTACTTTAGCCTGCCTTGAAGTAAGAAAGATGGCCTCCCTTCCTATGTTTAATTTCCCATCTGCCCATCCTTACCAAGCCCTGGACAGATCCACATACTCTGAACCTATTTTCTCCCTATTCATATCAGTATTTACATGTCCCATGGCCTACTTCTTTAGGATTTTGCATGGCTCAATGCCTGCCTGAAAAAGTAATGTAAGTGAAGAGATTAGAAAACAAAATAACTTCTGGATCACCCTAATATTTATCAGATGATACATTTGCATGTTAATCAAAATCTTCTATATTTTATCACACTAATTAAAGGAATAACATTATGAGTAAAATTTAATGTACTGTGGTAGTAACTTGGGCTTATTCTGTCTATCTGCCTTGACTTTATGCAATCCTTTTTTTTGACTTTATGTAATTCTTATTCTGTGTTTACTAAACCTCATCCTTCACAGTTTGAATTCATAGACAATTTCTCAAAACTGAAAAATCAATTTATTTTGAAATATTTAACTAAATATCAAAAGAAAGACCTGAGCAATTAAAAGTGGAGGCGATTCCTCCAGGGAGTAGCAAATGAGTTGAGAAGGGTATAGCAAGGGCCTGTTTAAAAAAAAAAAATAGATTTTTAGATTATTTGAATTTTAGATTATTTGATACATAAATTTAACTTTTAAAAAATGGTCAAAAGAAAGTCAAATGAAATAGAAAAAAAGTTAAAAACCAAAGAACTAAAGTAAACAAACAGCAGAAAATGCTAAGCAAGATCAAAAGACAAAGACACAGAATATAATATTAGTGAGCTCTAAACATAGATGTTTAAAAGTATAAAACATAAAAATTATGCACAATATATAGAAATAACTTTAAAGTCTCGACCAAATAGTTTTCTAGCAAATATGAATTACCTATATTAATACAGACCAGAAGAGAAAAATAGCCAAGGAAGACATTAACAAAAATACTCTAAAACTATCCCCTAAACAAAACTAGTAACGATAGATGACGTAACAGGAGTGCTTTATCAAGGGATATCCTTCAAGGAGAAAATGATAGGTAACTGAAACATGATCAAAATCTCTATTCATTTTAAAAAGTCACAATTATTTTGATAAAATCTCATGAAGATAGTACAAGAAAAACACTTCATATGAAATTTAGAGATGCTAAAATTTTAAATAAAATACTAGCAAATCCAAATGAATTTATATTCTTTAATTAAGATCTAGTTTAAAATGTAACAATTAATATTAGGAACTTTATTCACCTAAATCATCACATTAAAAATTCAACATGTTATAGAGGTATATCAAAACATTGCATTGTGTGCCATGAATTTATACAATCTTTGTCAATCACATCTCAGTAAAGCTGGAAAAAAAAGGAATCCGAAGTAAAAAATAATAAAATCTAAGTAGATGCAAAACATCAGGTGATAAAATTCAACATCCATTCCTGATTTTTAAAAAAATAAATTCTAAGAAAGTAAGGACATAGAAATTCTTCTTTACCATCTATCTAATACCTATGGCCAACATTGTACATTCACTGAGTCACTGAAACTAGTTGTCCAGAATAATATTTTGTCAGAACAATGAAAAGGGAGTTCGAGAAACACTGGGTTATGCAATGTTAAATAGGTTTCTAACTAAAAGACTACTGAGTACCTTTAATTAAACTGCTAGAGACCCACTGCTAATAATAATAATAAATAATAATAAAAAGTCAAAACAACTAAATGACCTAAATGTCCAACTAATTATGGTCTTATTCATGCAGTGAAATCTTTTGAAGCCATTGGAAATTAGTATAAAGAAGTAAATATAGCTATATAGAATATGTTTCTTATAGAGCTGATTTTTAAAATCTATGGTACAAAACAATATCTATAATACTCTATTTTACAAAAAGAAGCACACATTTTCACATGTGCATATGCATAGAAACAAAGTTTCAGAAAGTCTTCAAAGAAAAGGTTAACACATTATTCCTGGTTGGTGACAATGCAGATAATGTTTTCAAAAATGTTTTGTGTGTCTATATTTTCTCATTTTTCTATAATGAACATATAAAAATATTTTAAATATTAAAGGTATAAACATATCACCAAGCAAGAAATATATACCAGAAAAATTTTAAATACCATTCAAATTGACCTACTAATTCAGGGGTTCAATATATTATTTCTGGCCAATCATAATAAAAAGTCAGTGGACAACAACATGCAAATTAATTCTTTAATAATTAAATATACTATCACTACACTAAATGTATCTTTAAAAGATTCAAAGGGTGACATCCAGAATGCTAATGCTAAAGAGAAAAACAATCATGTTGAAAAAATATTAAAAACTTGAGACACCAAAACACATTGTCTTCTTATACTTGGAGGTGATCATACAAAAATCACTCTACCTAGAATCCAGAAGTGATAACAAAAATAAGAGAACTATCGTCATCCTAGATGATGTTGTGTTAGGGCAAAACAGCATTCAGCTTAAAACACTGACACTGCAGACTTTTACTGAAAACAGAATTTCATCTTGATGGCTAATTTGCAAATCATCTCAAGGATAATATGTTTCAAGGAGGCTCTATTTATGAGCATTGAGCTTTTCATCCCTCTGTGAAAAGAAGGGGAAGGAGAGCTCAAAGACCTGAATGGAAAGATCCTCCAGATTCTCTCTCTCTGCCCCCATTCATTTGTAGTCACAGAAATAGAGCAAGAGCACACAGTTATTGAGAAGGATTTGCATTTGGCAAATCCTTAATTGTTCTCCCACCACTTGAACAGATTCCACCAGGAAAAGACTTATGGCACAGTTTTCATCCAACAGCCTGGGTTGCAGTGTATCTTACTGGGGAGGCCACAGAAAAAGAAGCCAACCAGTTTTTCTCTATTTCTCTTAAAAAAAAAATTGAATTTTCTGTCCATATGGGTTTGAAAACCAATCTCCCAGTCTTTAAAGAGCACAGACAGCCTAGGAAGGTTGTAACTGGATCATGCCGATGCCCTGAACCTCTTGGCCATGATCCTGAGACATAGATTCCATCCACAGTCAAACCTTGGAGACTGCCAGAGAGCAAGTCAGAAAGCAGCCACCCTCTCTTCTCTTGGTCATCCCACACCCATGCAAAGAAAACCTCTGCACTAGCTTGTCTTCTGGCATCAAGTAACCTCATAGTACTTGCTAACAAGGAGTGTGTGTTAAGAAAGCTGAGCCCCGCCCCCCGCCCCGCACCACCCCATACAACTAACTGTTTGTGTCAGATTCAGATTGAATACGTACTATTTCTGTGCCAGGGGAATGATATACCTTTTGCTAATCCTTAAAACAACTCAACAAAGTAAGCATCAGAATCCCCATTTTATAGAAAATGATACAACTCAGAATAACTGGTCAAGAACTACCCAACTGGGGCGCCTGGGTGGCTCAGTCCTTAAGCGTCTGCCTTTGGCTCGGGTCATGATCCCGGGATCCTGGGATCGAGCCCCGCATCGGGCTCCCTGCTCCGCGGGGAGCCTGCTTCTCCCTCTCCCACTCCCCCTGCTTGTGTTCCCTCTCTCGCTGTCTCTCCCTCTGTCAAATAAATAAATAAAATCTTTAAAAAAAAAAAAAAAGAACTACCCAACTAATAAGTTATAAGAGTCAAAATTTGAACCCAGATCTGAGTTGATCTGACTTTAACCAGGGTCCTTTAACCTAACAAGGGCCCCAACAACTTTGACGGTGGGTATGGATAAGACCAGTGCAGTGCAGAACTGAAGGGCTGATTAGCTTCTCTCCTATGAGAAGTGGACGTGATAGTCGAAAAACAGGAAAGCAGAGAACTATATCTTACCTGGAGGTGGAGATCAAAGACAGCCAATTCCTCCCAATGTGCTCAGCGAGGGGCTGGATCCCACTCCCCACAGATTGAAAGAGGAAACGGGTGAATTCTACAGCAGCTCTGAGCAGTTTTCCCAGGTGGGGAGAGCCTGGATGGACCCAGACGGAGCAAATTAGGGGAAAGAAAAGAGGAAGGGCATGGTCTCGCCCCTGGGCAATTTCGACTCTTTCCTCTTTCCTCCTAGCCTCTTTTCTCTGGCAGTCTGCAGAAAAGCCACTGACGTGCATCTCAGCTCCCAGGGCACAGAGAGATCTGAAGCTTTTGAGCCATTTCTTTGCAATTTGCTGCAAGTTTAAGGCCACACGTGATAAAGCTTTCTGTATGAGAGAGTGAAAGGAGAAAAGACCACTTGTGATCTTACTTGCTGATTCCCAGAAACACAACTCTGCAGGGGGCAGAGGGGAAGGGAACAGAAGCAGGAGGAGGGGCGGAAGTTTGTAACAAAGATCCCTCCTTTTCCTT